TGCTTTGGAAGCAGCAGACTGCTCCAGCTTGCCCTCTTTCCCCTGATGAAGAAGCAGGGACGTTGTTCTATGTCATGGGTTGTTCTACAAGAGTGCCCAGTGTGAGAAAAGCTTGTTGGCATAAAGGAGCATAAAACTTCTGTGCATGCAAGTCATTTGTGCAACCAGTCACGTGGTGGAGGAAGGGTCAGTCTGCCCGGTGACAAAGGCTGGGCACCAGGATTTTGGACCATGGTATCCCATGGAGCTGAGCTCTGGCACAAGATGCAGGCAGGCTGCAGAACAATTCCAATTGTTATAAGGTAAAGTGCTCATTTTCCTACATAACTGTTCAGTTGTACATGGCTGTGCACAGAGACAGAAACAGGTGGTGAAAAGATAACCAAAGTAACTGTGGACTTGCTTGTGCTCCATTAGAACATGGAAGATCACTGGGGCTACTCAAAATCAAGTCCTACTAGCTTCAGACTTACAGAAGACAGTTACCACATGTCAGCTGATACTGTAATACATTGCCTTAAGACAGTTTTCTTCAGCTGAATGATCCAAATCCTACTTCATGCAAAAGGCATTCTGATATTTCTTTCATGTCCAAGGTGCAGCTTCAGGAGGAACACGGAAAGCTTAGCGTGCCAGTTTACATGGTAGAGCTGTAACCATCCACGCTAGGAAACATGGTATGCACCTGAGAAACATATCTGGTCAAAAGTCCAAGTGCAAAACCATGTAAAGAATGGCTGCCACATACAGGCAGAGTTTTCTCCAACCACATTGGATGAAATGGTACTTCAAAAAAAAAAAGGCACCAAAAAATCCAACCAACCCACCAAAAACAGAGCCGAAGCAAATATTTTCAAAGACGCAGTGAGGAGTCTGCAGTGCTAATGTGGATTAGTATTTGTATACCCGCCCCTGACACCATTTGAGTAGCAGAAAGACAAACTTCACATGAGTAATGGCAGTCCTGCCACAAAAAACTCATTTGCAATGTCTAGATCCAGCTTTCAGACAGAACTGACAAGTACTTAATCAATAGTAATTTCATACCATATTTTCAACAAACAAATGTTAGTGTTTTCCTTTCAAATTTTTAATCTTCTGGAAATGCAACTCCTTGTAACTTGGCTGCACATCTGTATCAAGCATGCAAAGAAAATTCTTACACAGGGTCTTTCTTATATGCCAGGCATTAAGACTGTTGGAACGAAGTGTGTCCTTGGTATCTTTATCCTCTGTAGAGATAGGGGTATACATATAAAAAGGAATCTGGGATACCAGTTTCTTAGAGTTCTTTTGGTTTCGTTTTGTTTCACCTCGCTCCCCCCCCTGCTTATTGTCCAGGATATCAGCTTAGATTGCTGACAGTAGCATGAGGAGGGGATGGGAGACTTGCAGGCACCTGGGATTTCGTAAACGAAATCTTTGGCAACTGTGTCTTTTTATTATTTATTTCCCTATTTTTAATTCCACCCCCTTCAAGCTGTCATTCCTTAGCAGTGAAAATGAAAAGCTGCCATTTATGAGTGTACAACAATGGAGGCCTCTACAGGCCACATGGCTCCTGCAGTTTAATTTACTTTAATTCATTTTATATTGAACCAAATGATCTTATTTGCCTCTTTTAATGGAGAGCCTTCAGCATGCAGGGCGGGAGCCAAGCCCCCCTTCCAAAGAAATGATGAGCCCAGCTGCTATTAAAACTTGTACTCAGCTTGACGTGTCCATCGCAGCTCGGGGGGGAGGAAGGGACATCTTTAGCTCCTTCTCCCACAACCTCCTGCTGATGGCAGGGGTGTAAGACTGCAGTCAGATGTTGGGGTTACCTTCCTCTTTCTGCTTTTCTCCCCTATTCGCAAGCTCTTTTCTCCCTGCATTCCAGCGTGACTGTAGTCTCACAGCCTTTCTCGGCACCTCTGTTTTCCGGGCTGGTTTGGAACCTGGGAAAGTCTTGGATTATTTTATCAAATTTTCAATCTTCCCTCATTCTTTGGAGCGGTTGCTTGCAGAGATATTCCACTTCTGAGTAATTCATGCTTGAGGAACTCTGGCTAGTTGTATCCTGATAATATATCAGTCTTCATGCTTCACACTTCAAGCACTCATCACTGTCTTTACTGCTCTCTGTACTCTGATTGCAAAGACAAACCTCTTTTTTTCCCTTTTAATTTTAGTTTGCTTTTTCTCAGTAACAGCATAAACTGATGCTATAAATTCAAGATGGTTCTCGATGTTATCTTAAACCAAATGTTGCCCTTCCTGTGATGGGGCCTGCTGAAACTAGGACAGGGCCATACTAGGAATATGTGACCCAGGTACTTTAGATTGGGAGAACTGAGTTCTCTAGCTCAAATTTTTAAATCTATTCACTGCCAAAATGAAAAGATGCATCTGACTGAGGTAAGCAGAGTTTAGTACTACTCCCTGTTTTCACTAACGATCTTGATGGAACAGAGTAGGCTTATCAAATGTGCAGTTGACACTAAACTGGGAAAGGCTGTAAACGCACTGGAAAGAATTATAATCCAAACTCATCTTGACAGACTGGAGAAATGGTCCAGAAAACAGGGGGGAATGAAGACCATCCAGCAGACAATAAGATCTGGAATGAATGATCTCTGAGAAGAGACTCCAAAAATCGGTGTTACTCAGTCTACAGAGAAGACTGGGAGAGATACGAAGACTTTGATGTGTAAAAGAAAAAAGAAAAGAATCTGATCTTGTTCTAATCACAATGGATATGGAGAGGTAAGACACTTAGAAGGAGGACATTTGGAGGAGATGCCTCATACTAGAGAGGCTATGCAAGCATCAGTGAAAACCACACAGTATTCAAAGAAGACTAGAATCGCAAGGAGTGGCATGGAAAGCCAGACTAACTTTGGAAGTGCCTTTGAACTTCCAAGATGAGGAGCATCTGAAGAGCCTGCTTAGAGTTTGAAAACAGAACAATCAAAGTCCCTGATATCCCATCCACGGGCAAGTTTTATCGTCTATTACTGACCACCAGCAAGAAGGTCCTACAAGGAAGCTCAACATTAAATACCTCTATCCCATTCACAGCTGTGCTAAACTCTATCCCTGACAGTGCAGCAATCTCCACTTCAGGCCCTGTATTATGGGGAGCTAGAGGCTGTTGTTCTGACTAGTTATATTGGCAGAAGAGTTCTCAGTATATACATCTTGAAAAAATCTTCTAGCTCTACTCCGTGAGTTTAATTCGTATTTCTCCAGCAGCTTGCTTCCTGCTACCATCAAGTGACAGCCATCCAGAAGTTCATAAACTAGGAGCTAGTCTTCAAGCAGATACACTACTAGAAGCACATGGGGAGGAAGACAATAACTTTGTATCTGGCAAGTATTACAATAACAGATAGCAAATAACTTGATAAGAATGTGGTGAAAGTTAATGTGCCTAAAGTGCAATAGAACTGTTCTAACTCAGAAAAAGTTTACATTTAAAAGAAACTCAGCTGAAAAATAAGTGAGTAGCATTGTGCTGGCCTGTAGAAGTAAGCTGGGCCATCAGGCTCACAATTTCTATGGCATCCTAGGGTTCTCTTGGAGCTCTCCCATCCCAGTTTGATCTTGCTTAATTTGTTACAGCAGATCTCATCCCTGGTTGGCTTAATAGTTGCAGTGTAGAGAGGGGGATAAAAATAAAGCCAGATCCATAGTGGTAGGTAACAGCAGTCTCAGATGTCAAGGGACAGTGAGACCATCAACAACATCCTAAGACAAAAAGAGACTTGGAAAAAGTGAGAAATATTGCTATCCAGAAAAAGGTATTAAAAATGAAGCATCTGTGCTCTGAGTCATTATAGGCCCTTGACAGATGTGATCTTACCAGCCTCCCACTGTAGCTGCAAATAAAGACCCCCTTCTCTTTCTTCTCTCCCGACAAGGATTAATGAGTACTTGGGATAGCTCTCAGACAAGCAAGCAAAGGCTGTGAACCTTTTCCAACACTGCAATTTATCTTGGGAAGACTATTTACATTGCTTTTCCCTCCTTCCCCAGGCTGGATTATGCTCTGACCTAGCACATTAATCTCCCAAAATAAAATAATAATAATAGAGGAAGAAAGGATGAAAAAAAAGAGCTGGACAATTGCCAGAAATAAATTAATAACCATCTCAAATAGCCCTGCTGTGCAGGAACAAACTGCTCAACTCCCCTGCCACCCATGTCATTTGTAAGCAAAACTATTCCCAGTTTAGATATCCTACTAAGTGCCCTGCCCGAGACTTTCTGCAATTAATGATAATATCTTGCATCTATATAGTGCCTTTTATCCCAACAGCTGCCAGAAAGTTTCTTTATCAAATATAAATAATACACATTGCTACATTTGCCACTGAAATGTAGACACTACAAAGTGGAGGAAGGGGCAGCATGACAGATCTGTAAGAGTAAAAAAACACAAAAAGGTATTTTAAGAGAGTGAATGTAGTGAGAAAGCTTCAAAAGTCAGCCTCGTCTATGTATGATTTTATAAACGTTTAAGTACGTTAACCATTTAGTTAAAATATTTCTTCACCCATGGTTAGAACTGGTGCTGTCTTCTGTGGCATCAGTAGCTTCAATTTAGTACTGTTACTTCTTTGATGCAAGTGGAAAGCCGAAGAGACAAGAACTTGTAACTGCTTTCCATTAAATGAAGAGATTTGTGCTTCAGAAATATCTATTTACAGAGGTGACTCAGAAAACAAGACTTGGAACAAAGTCAACCAGAAAAGCCGTTATCTCGCTGCAAGTACCTATTCCTTCTCCAGCAATGCTTACCTCTCTCTCTCTGGACTTTACCTGCTGGTGTTACCAAAACCTCGCTCACATCTGCAGTGGCTCAAAACCCAAAACTCACTACCCAGGTGACTTTCTGTCAAAGTTTTATCAGAGATTTTATTATTTTTATTCTTCCACCCATATTTCATGCTGCAAACATGTTGTAAAGGTATCAGATTATCAAACATCTGTATATGAAGAAGAAAAGAGGCTCTTACCTTTGACTTGACAGCTAGGATGATCTTGGGCAGGGCAACAATTAGGCATTTCAACGCGATGGTGAGGTACTTCAGCACAAAGTCTGCAATCCCCACAATCCACATCAGGTCGAAGAAGTCCAGCTTCTCAAGGTTGGGTTTCAGAAAAATGAGGCTGAAAGGCATGACAACAAGGCTCAAATACCAATAAGGAGAACCTCACTTAAGTTGCTTGATACCAGCTGTATCCGCTGCTGGGCAGAGAAAGCCTAGAAACTGCACTGAACTTCAGTGAAGTTCTCAAGGGCAACAGGAACAAGACATGCATATTAGTCCCATGGTTCCTCTGGGCCTCTTGACTTTGACTGTTCTTGCCCATTTTTACTGAGGTCAGCAGGTTTGCACACTATCACAAAACAGGACCCAAACATCTACAAAATCTGTTTCAGAAGACTGCAATCTCCATAACCTGCAATCCACGCTGTAAAAGAGCCTCTGGTCTAATGCCAGTGCCTTTGGCCTACAGGCTTGCTCTATCAGATCTGATTGTAAAAGCATATCCTTTGAAGTCATCAGTAGTCACGATTCCTTGGGGAAGCCATGGCTGAGGCAAGACCACTGTGTCTTGCTCCTCTGAGGCTGGCTTGCCACAGGTAGATCTTCTGCAGGGCCAGCAGTCTCTAAAGCTACTTGCATGTGAAGCAAACTGGTGACAAAGGAAGCACTGTATTAGACATGGCAGAAGGTCAGAACTTCAGATGTGTCATGCTCCGACAGTGGCTTGCCGCTCTCTGAAGCAGACAAAGAGCTGGGCTGTGTTAATTAGCAACTCTTACCTGAACCAAAGATCCAGAAAGGTAGTACACCTTACATAATGTTATTGACTGGGATGAACATTTGGCCTTTAAAGAAGGCAAGTGCAGGACAGCAGAACTCCAGGTAGCAATGGACAGGAGCTACTGACCTAAGCAGCAATAAGGATTCGACCCTACTCAGACTGAAAAAACAGGACTGCTCTTCAGGATATTTACCTACAAACACCTCACTGTAGAAAGCAAAAACTTAAGCAAAAAAAAAAAATCAGACCACAAAAGTAAAATAACCAACCCAGAATGAAAAACCTGAACATGAATTTAAAATACTCACAACACTGGCACAGCACAACAGGTAAAATTACACCCTAAAAACAGAAACAGAATCAGAGACTTTACTACTATTCATGCACTAGAAACAAGCAAAAAGTAAATAAATCAGGAAATGAAAAATAAGTCAGAAAGAAACAAAATCAAAGCAGCTATTTCTAATTTTACAGGTCTGCCTCGTGAATAGTCACAGATTCCCACGCAGCAAGCAGTAGATCCAGTAGCCCAAGCATGACACAGCAGGCACCACCACACCACTTGCAGGAACAGGGCTTTCCAGCGAAGCCGTTGCCTATTCTGTTCACTGTCAATAAATCATGCCCTCAACAGTGTGTTGGATGGCCCCAGTTTGCTGAAACCCTTTTATTTCAAGTGATCTATCCTATATTTTAAACTAGTCCCATTCATGCTTTTAACCTCAAACCTTCTTCTTAGAGATACACTGTTTCCCTGTGGTGCAAACAAATTTCTTCTTACTGCATTCTCACCTTTTTGCCATACCTGTTTCTTCTCTTCCATTCCCTCCCACAAGCCCTACACAGGGTATCGCATGGCTTGCCATCTCTCATCTGGACCCACACATACAAGCCTTCTCATCTCTTCCCCCTTCTAGCAGCATTTACATACACAGCTTTCCAATGATCAAACCCAAATACATTAGGGGCAATTCCAAAGGATAGCAGGGTTGTGGGCAGACCTTGTCTCTTCCACTGCATAGTCAGTAGTGGTAGGAAGAAGCAGGGAAGCAATGAAATAAACCACAGAACAAACATACCCAAGAGGCATCTAGCCACTACTCAACTGATGTTGATGATGCACATTATACACATTGTATTTTCAGTCTGAAGTTCTAAGTCCTCTTCAGTGGGACAAATAAAAATTTCTTTAGGAAGACAACTCATATGGTTTTAGCTAGTAACATCACACTACTTTTTCAAGTAACTACGCTTGCCATTTCTTCCTGTTTACTAACAACCCCCTGCTTAACTTCTGTATCTTTGCTTCCTATCTGTCATTTAATCCCTGCTTTATAACAAGCAGGCATAGTACTTAACCAAATCCATGGGTACTAACTTTTCTGTCTGTATTTGAGAACCACTTCAGTCAGAATTTGAAAGTGGAGGCTATTTAATTACCTAAGAACCAAATGCCTCCAAGCCCTGAGGACACTGGAGTAAAACACTACTATTTCATCTCCAGTATATCTCCTGTAATAGACTCAAGGCTTGATAGACTGAAGAGAAAATAAAATATTACAGAAAGAGGAAAATCAGTGGGTCGATTTCTGATCTGCTTCCATCACCTGCTCCTCATGTTCAGTCACAGCGGTCAAAATGGCAATTCAGAAGTCCCACTATAAAATTTGAAGTATCCTCCCTGCTTCGATACATAAGAAAATTGCAAGTGTCCATGTTTCAAACAGCAGCACTGTGGTATACCATCACACCCCGGCCCATTCAGACGCTGGCTATGTCATTTATTGCTAGGAGCATAGTCCACTGGTAGAAGCGACGTACACATTCTTTTCTGCTGTTGAAAGACCTTGAGTATGCACACTTCCTCTCAAAGTGTGGGGAAAAGCAGGCTTGCCTCCTTTCCTCCCTGGCAATTATCACCTGCTTCCCTCAGGTACAATGTAAATTTTGCCCACCTGTTGTACAGCTGCTGAGAGCTGAATGTGTACAGCAAGTACAGCGTGTTTCCGGTGAGAAAGGCCAGGATCCAGAAGACAACCAACACTGACCTCTTCTCCTGAGCAAGAAAAAGAAATAAAGATAAATTCAAAGTCTCCAGGGTTGCACTGAGCCTTCAACTACTGAAAAAATGCAAGACCAACCCAGGAGACGCACATGCAACTAAGTGTTCAGTAATTAGTCTATTTACATTGGACTAAGACTCAGGCTGCTAGGTAAAGACATACATAAACACAAGCAGAGGTGGCTCTCACTCACCTAACCTTTGCAAAGAATGTAACTTCAGAGAAATTAATTGAAATACATGGGTGAAAATGACACTCTTACTTGCAGAACACAGTTTTCAAAGTTGGGATCTTTCCTGGGACATCTAAATTCTCCTGATATTTAACATGCAGTTTGACAAGCAGATTTAAAAAAAGTCAGTTCCACATATTGTACTATAATTCTGAGCTGCCACCTGTCTGAAATGATGCTTCATGAAAGAGGTGTTTTGCAAATAGATACAAAGCCGCTTACAAGAAGGCTTAGTTAAATCAAATATAACATAACCCACCACTACATGCAGCAGATATGAATGTTATCTGAATGCATGGAGGTTCTAGAACACACATTTTTGATTGAAGGAATAATTAAAAGTCAAAAGAAGCACAAATTTTGCATTTCAAAAGACGAGGAACATTACAGACAGAAGCTGGATGGCAGAAAACTTTGTCCTGAGTCTTGGCCCAGCGTAATTTTAGAGAGTAAATTTTACTCCTAGGAGGAAAAAAACCCCAGCATTTTTCTTGTGAGCTGATTTATTAAGAAAATTGCTCGTCAACAGCCAGGGACGTTAGGTTGAGATCTAAAGCAGGCAGATTAAGGGGCACACTGCTGGAAAGACAGAGGTGCAAAGTGCAAGGCAACAGCAATCTATTACACGATGGTGCAATTTATCGGTTCATTCTGCATTGTGTCACATTTATTCCACAGCTGCTGGAACACACTTGTGCCACCCATCTCATTTCCACAAAAAAGCTATTCTAGGCTTGTGCTTTTAGCGCTGTGGAAGTATTCTGCTGACACTGAAGATCATAAGACCTCAAAAGATCTGCTGGTTTCTTATATTCTAAGCATATTATCAACAGAGCATTTAAAGATACTAACAAGCAATACATCTACAAAATCCTTCAGCTGAACATCTCAAAACATTATCTAAATGCTAACAAATTAAATGTTATCATTAACTAGTGAACTAGGTTTCAGCACCTCTGCTGTACATACTGAGAAACCAAGACGCAGAAAGGTGCTTGAAGACGCACTGCCAGTCAGTGGCAGAGCCAGAAGCAGACGACAATCTCCCTGACTTTTCCTGTCTTCATTTTACTAAGCCACACTTCTACAGAAGAGCAGGATGGAAAGAAACAGTGGGAGAGCATCATGGGGAGAGGTAGGAAGAGGAGCTGAGGATTATGGGACGGTACTCTTTTTCTGACAGATCTGTATTCATATAACGGCATTCATCCCTACTTTGCAAAAGAAGGTTCAACCTAGACACTGTTTAAAGAGCATCATCGCTTGGGAACGTAAGAGAGTAACATGCTGTACTCACCTTCAGAGCAACCTGTTCTCGGAGTGTTGAGTTGGCATATGCGAATGTGCTGGCCATACCAATGCACACGGCAATCCCTGCAGGGAAAGACACTGTCAAAGTATGTACGGCTGGGCAGGAGGATCTTCAGTCCTAAGCCATTGGATGTCAGCATCTCAAGCTTAGCAAAAAACATACTGGGCGATTTTCTGGATGCACTGGGAATTAAAATATATAGGTGACTAAAACAGGGCAGACTGGACTCATGTTAAGTTCAAATTCAAGCTAAATGAAAATGAAGCTACAACAGTGAGCACTTGCCACCCAGCCCAATGCAGACACTCCATCCTAATATCAGGTTCTGTGCCGACGGAGAACAGAAGTGCTGCAAGTTGCGGCTGCATTCTAGGACACCAGGTCAAAAGAGCAAGATGTTGCTGACATGAATTAATACCTGGTTTTGGGAATACTGGTAGAGCAGTAAGTGGACTAAAATAAAGCACCATTGGCTTCCCTGGGATAACAATCTCAGCATACTGCTCCCAGAATGAGTAAGGATCCTCAGACATGCCACACATACAATTTCATAGCAAGAGAAGGATTAGATGAATACATTTTACATGACCACTGAGGGGCTGAAATTCTCAGGTGCCATTAAAGAAAGCTCCATAGACACATTCTTTCGGGAACTCTGAAGATCTCGACTGTAAGATGTAACTGCTGATGCTGTTTGGCTCGATTTCACAACCACCATCCTTCCAGCTATACAAGCATCTCATCCCCCTGAACCCTTCTGTGCTACACAGAAGCCTTTGGTAATCACTAATGCAAGCTCTCCCCACCCCTCCTGGAGAGACGTCTGAGTGAGAAGCCTTGGTAACGTCCTCAGCCCCTGCAGGAATGTCAAGGAGAGATTAGGAAAAGGTACACAACCGACCTCCCACAGGTCAGGACAGGAAACAGATGGGACTGACACAGATGAAAACAGCTCATACGGAAAGTAGGATGAATTTATCAAGTGTGTTATCCCACGAATTTAAATAAGTCCCCTTCATGGCAGACTACCTCTAGACACTGTCACGTGGATAAATATATCAGACACCACAGCATGATAAAGCTTCCTAACCATCCTCTAACACACTTACCATCCTGAAAGGACAGATGCTTACCAAGCTTATGCTGGAAACAAACTTTAGCCAGGAGGATCAAGATGAAGGGAAGTCCCTTCTGCAGCCAACCAATCACAGCTTTTAACTCTGAAAGAGCTGGGGCTGGAGTCCCAGCCTGTTCGTCACTGCCTTCCTCAGCATGCCCATGGCGGTCTCCTCCTGCCATGTGCAGTAGAGATGCACCCCGGTGGTGGCCATGGTGGAAATGATGGGACGCTTGCCGGTGGTGAAACGGGGCTCCTTCTGTACGACTGGTCCCTTCCTATCTTGGGGCTGATCCTCCCCCCCCCCCTGCTGAAGAGCCCAGAACCAAACCTGTCTGGAACGGTGTGGCTGTGATGGTGCCCGACGGGATACCTGCCAGGCCTGAGAACAGCTGTTGTGGTGAGGAAGCTTCAGCCTTCAGACTTTCAAAAACTCCACTTTCATCCACGCTGGTTTCAGAACTGACTGTTTGGCTCCGGTTTCTGCAGTGGATGGAGATTAGACAAAAGTGATTAAACAAAAATGACTGCCACAGCACTTTTTTAAGAGTTCCTCACACACTATCAGAATACGCAGATCTCCAAATGACAGATGTTTTTCCCTCTATTTGCTGTTGGAAAGTCACAGTTGCACAACTAGAGGCGAGTAACCAGACTCCTAAGATAAGATCAGAGTAGTTCTGAAGAACTGATGAAAATGCACGAGTTCCTTCACCTAGGGAACAGAGTTCCTAAACACCCCCTTTACTTTTGGAGGAACCAAAGACATAACACACCTGATACCAAATTCAACATCTGCTATAATTATTTTAATATTTAAAGAAAAACATATAAAAACCCCTGTAACTTTACACAGTGCAACCAAGACAGGTCACATTATACGCAACCCAATTAATCAAGCCAAATCAAATAAATGGCCTACCCCTAAAATCTTCTGTCTTTATTTAGGGATGATTGCTACGTGTCTACTGATGAATAACACAAACAAGAGACAAAGACAACTGGGGGAGAGAAGTGTTGAGAGCTGCTTGTGTGTCCCTGACCCAACAAATACTATCAGTGAAGGATGTGCTCACGGGTTAAGAGAAATTGTTTTATCTTGATATTCTCAGCAAACTGGACATGGGTGTACCCAAACTACTGGGCAGAATTAGATCTGGCACTGATTCTTTCCTGAGCTTTCTGGATTATAGCCAGATTCCAAAAAGGAAGTCTTAAATATCTTCATCCTAATACCAAAAGAAAATAGGCTTTCTTCGTCTGAACTCGGCACTGTGGTTCTGAAATGAATACATGTAAAGTTTAGATGATGGGGAACAATACAGGTAAGAAGTCAAACACTCATTAGGCAGTAAATGCTTGGCAGACAGCAAATACGTCTCTAACTTGCAAAAGGAGAGTAAAGAATAAAGCTCAGCAAGAGGCAAAGCCCACAAATAAGGCATGTTGCAGAGCTTCGGTCTTTCTTGATTTTAATCCTTGGAGATCTCTAACTTTAGAAATAGTGGTCACAAGCTGAGACAGCACATGGAGGCACATACAGGGCCCTTAACCCTCTCTCCCCTGGGTTCAAAAGCCTCCCAAGGCATCTTACAGGGCACAGAGCTCTGCCTTTCATCTCACTCTGGAGATAGCTTCAAACCTCTCTGGGAACACCTTCCCACTAAGTAAACTCTTAATAAGGCTTTTTATAGCTACACCCCAATCCCAATGTCTCTCCACAGGCTCCAGCAAGGAATCAAGTCAACAAGGTACTGCACACCTCTTTTTGGTTCAAAATATTCGTCAACCAGATCTTGGATTTTACACCTAACATTACAATTGAGAGACGTATACACAAGATGGGACACAATGTGACAGTACTTGTGGGAACATAACAAACAAATTAGGTGGAACCCAGTGTTACAGACAAAGACACAAGTATTGCTTGGAACAGTACTGAAGGGATTAATCAGGGACATATTTAAAACCAAGTAAACAAGGATGAAATTCTGACTCTACTGAAGTTAGCAGAAGTGAAGACCAGCGGCAACAACATTTCATTCTACAGTTAGAAAACCTTCAGCCTATGTTACTGACAATATGTACTTATCCTGTTAAAAAATCAGAAGCATTTATAAAAACCAACTGACACTACTCTGCTTACCTTTTGCACTCAAGAACAGACACCTATCACAAATATGTTTTAACCATTCAAACACACCCCAAAGCATCTTACAAGTTTGTACAGACTTGGAGCGCTTTACAATGCAGATGAGAGGGCCCACGCAACATCTGATGTGCCTCTCAAGCCCCAGGCTTGCCTGCTGATATAAACCCCACAGACTACACTGAGGCTTGGGCAGCATCACAGGGAAAAATTGAAGGTGGCTTTCTTTTCCCCTGAAATCAAGAATGGTACCATGCTAGCAGTGGTCATGACATCAAGCTTCACCTCCACCTGAAAAGCCACTAAGAAATACTTAGTGACTGCTTGTGATCACGGTCTTTCACTTACAATCTCAGCTCAGCCAGAGCAATGAAATTCGTTAGTTCCATCTTTGTCTTAGAGTAATTAGATTAGTTTCTTCTTTAGAGAAAAAAAAAAAGTCAAGCTCTAACCCTGGGAAAACACAAGGGAATATTTAGTACCAGAACAACAACAGTGGCAAGCCTCCCTTGCTGATGTTATAATTACAGAAATGAATTAGAGGTATTCTGCTTCTAAATATTCACATATATGAAGCTAGATACAGACTCTGGGACGATGTAAAGGATCACCCAAAATCTTCATAAAATACTGAGTCATAGTAGTTGAGAGCTTCAGACCAGCAGACTTTTTAAACACCTTAATAACAGAAGTATAAATAGCCTCTGTTCATACAGCTTGATCCTTTCAGACTGACAGTGCTCAGGATCCCCACAGGACTGTGCCATGAACCG